TGTGTGTATTTATATGTACATAATAAATATACCCAGCACACACATATATATTATGTAAACAAAAACTTTTAATTTGGATGCGCTTAATCACGATTAATCGTCTGACAGCACTAGTACACAGTATATATATATATATATTCTGAAGGATTTTACTGAGGGGTTTGTTCATGTATCATTTTCCTGTATTTATACAATATTTGATTCCTAAAAACATGGTTAAAAACTTATTATTTTCTGACTGTTGACAGTATTTTCTGATTTATGAAGTGATAAAAAGAGATATTCAAAATATCCCCCCTGTAAAAACTTGAGTAATATGTCAACAAAATGAAACAAGAATTTTAAACCTGGCTTTATCTAAAGTTTAGATTTCTATTCTGTAAATTAGTGCACATTTAATTAAATTTGTATTTTCAAACATAACATTTCAGAACACTTGTAATACAAAACAGTTTATACAAAAATTGCTGAGAGGAGGTGCTCTACCAACGATATAGGAGGTGCAATCAAAAAGCCATGTCAATTCAAAAAGGTGCAGCACTCACTCTTGAATGACGTTTCGGCCGTTATCCAGGCCTTCATCAGATATCAAGAACAGCATTACCAAACCATGCTTTAACATTCTTGCAATCAGCAACAGGTGTGTCACTGCCAATTAGGGGAGTGGCTTCCAAACAAGTTAAAGAAGAAGAAAAAAACAGAGTTAGTAAAACATACCATAATCAATTTCTTGATTGAGACCTTTGGGAAATAATGTATCTAGTAAAAATCCAAAACAGTTTGAAATTTTTTATGTAAACAATCAACAGGACGTTTGGTGATATCTGTTAGTTGAAAGAATAGCAACCCAAAAATGAAAATGTAGGCACTCTCGGGCTATTCAAGATGTAGATTCATTTGTTTCTTTATCGGAACAGATTTATTTAGCATTACATCTCTTGCTCAGCGGTGAATCCTCTGCAGTGAATGGGTGCCGTCAGAATGAGAGTCCAAACAGCTGATAAAAGCTGCTAAATTTCTCCAAATCTGTTTTGGTGAAGAAACAAACTCATCTACATCTCAGATGGTCTGATAATGAGTAGATTTTCAGCAAATGTGTATTTTGGGAAGAACTAATCCTTTAATTGTTTTATTCTATT